CCCCAGTTTAGTTATCTTCAAGGCATTTTTTTTCCTTGAACCTGATACTTAATTGTGAAATGCATCACTGAATTGGCAGAGTCAGTTATAATGGATTCTGAAAAAAAAAACCAGCCTCATCTTGAATGAAGTTTATTTAATTAATGCTGATTTGATTAACCACCAGGGTTCTCATTTATAACTCTGTGGGAATACCAAACACCTCTTGCAATGATCCTTGGTTCAACAGAACGGGTCTTACGTTGATTTTAGCTAAGCTGAGCATTCCCATAGCCCACCTATGGTGCAGCCTGTATTCTCTTAGGTCTACTCCATTAGAGCACAGTGAGAGAGCAGTAACTTTATTGAAGAGTATTCCTTTGCTTTCTCTCACTAGAGTTTTCTGAAACCCCGCATCTCTCTCAACAATTTTCTGCTGTTCCCCCAGTAACCTTTCTAACTGATCATGTGGGTGCATAGTCCCAATTCCTTGTTGCTCCCAAAGTGAGCTAGGTGCTGATGGAGCTCTGCATTTCCTACTGCTCAGATCCCCCAACACTGCTTCAAATTCTTCTCTCCCAGCTGCTTCCAAGTCACTTCCAAGTTCTATGGAGGGGTGTATCCTAGAGAGGAAGAGCTGGGAGGACAAGAGCCCCCTTTTAACAATGACCACATATAGGGAGTCATTAGAAGGAGAAATGAACAGGAAAGAAAAGAAAAATAGGAGGTGTGCTAAAAAAAAGAGGAGGGATTAAAAGGGAAGAAGGTGGATAGTTCTAAAAGCTGCAGAGAACGGGACAATGATTATTTAGTCATATGGTGTTATAGGATTATAAGACCAGTTCTTTATTTCTAGCATTGTTTCTTTTAGAGAAATTAAATTTGCATAGATCGAATATCCAGCCCTGTTACTTAATTTAATATTGGACTCTGATTTTCAAAAATAGATTTTTAGTTTTCTTATGTTATGAACACATTAATTACATATGATTATTTGGTTAAGTCTCCACTTTTCTAGAGTATAGGCTCTGTGGAGGCAGAGAATTTGTCTATTCGATTATGGCCATATTCTAAACATTAGGTAAGTGCCTAGTTCATGGTAAGAAAAAATTGTGTTACGTATTTGTTATACTGTCCTTCTAAATATTAGCAGGTTTTGACGTTTTTAATGACTATTAACCATTGTACTTCCATTTTGGATAATTGTCTTTAAGTATTTACCATTTGGGTCTTAAATGTTTTATTCATTTATATGATGCTATTAACTTTTTTCTGTGAGTGTTGTCAATATTTTCTAGGTTTGTTTGCTTTTATTTATGAAGTCTTTTTGAAATGGAGATATTTTAATTTAGTTACTTTCACAGTTATGGATCTTTTCTTTAGTGATCTCTTTCATTGTTTTAGGCTTAGAAAGTATTCGGCCATACAAAAATCAGCCTTACTGGAAGAAGGAATAGCATTTGTGCAGACCTGGAGTTGGCTTGGTGAGGTGGTTTCAAGGAGGTAAAAGAAAGTCAGAACGAGAGAGAGGATGGGTTACAATGAACATAGAAAGACAGTCAGAGGGCAGAGTGTGCAGGACTTGGAGGCTGTATTAGGGATTAGTGTCTTTGTTCTGAGGGAAATATGCAGCCATGGAAAGGTTTTAAAGAAGAGAATAATATGACCAAGTTAAAGACCACTCTGGTGGTAGTGTGGACAATGTCAGAAGGAGATAGAAGAGCAGGTAGAATGTGCCATAGGGATGCTCTTAGTTGTCCAGGCAAAGGAGAGCTCTGTGGCCCAGTGTGGCAGGAGCAGGGAGAAGGTGGTACATTCCAGAGATCCATTTTAGAGGTAGACAGACAGGATGTGTGGACAGATTTGAAGTGGGTTTTGGGGGAAGAGGACGATGTAAGGAAGATGACCAGACTTCTCATCTGAGCAACTGGTAGGTGGAGGCACTGCTTATTGGGATGGGAAACATAGAAGAAGCAGCAGCTCAGTTTGAGACATGTTTATGCTTCATAAAGCTCACAAAAGATGCGTGGCCTGAGAATAAAATATCAGAGTCAGTGGCTGACAGTTAATTACCATGGGTGTGGATTTGCTGACAGGGTCAAAGAAGAATGAGTGGAAAAGACTGGTTCTTGGAAGAACTCCTGCATTGAAAGATCAGACAGAGGAATTTTAGGCTATAAAAGTAAAGGGAAGTTTAAAAGAAGGTGCCGTTATTTATTTATTTTTGCTGAGGAAGATTTGCTCTGAGCTAACATCTGTGCCAATCTTCCTTTACTTTGTATGTGGGTCACCACCACAGCATAGCTGCTGATGAGTGGATTAGGTCCGCACCTGGGAACCAAACCCAGGCCACCAAATCAGAGCAGGCTAAACTTAACCAATAGGCCAAGGGGCCAGCCCTGAAGGTGCCATTATTAAAACCAGAAGAAGCAAGTATTTCAAGAAGGAAGGATAATTACCTGTGAAAAATCCCACTAAGTGGTCGGCTCAAATGAGGACCAGCATTAACAACAAGGAATTTATTGTAATCCAAAGAAGAGCTGTTTGGGCAGAGTCAGGAGAAGAACTGGAGTGTATTGAAGAGGGATGCAGAGTGAGAAGGTAATTCACTGCTTGTTTATGAGGAGACAGGGTGGTAAGAAGTGAGAAGAGACACTTGTTTCATTATAAGCTGAAGGAGAAAGAAGAAGAAAAAGAAGGTAGAGATGCAGGTTTGTTGGTGGAAAGATGAAGGGATTTCGTCTAATGACTTCCATTTTCCTTTTAAATGATGAAGCGTGGTTATCTAGTGAACATGATTGGGAGTGCTGGTCAGAGGGAATCAGGTTGTGCGGTGGAGTGGGCCATTCATGTCAGGTTAAGGGGCTTATGTAGATAGTAGCAACCTATATAGTAAGAAATTTGGCTTCAACCAAAGAGGGGTCTTTTTCGTGGCTCCTGGAGGTAACCATTAAACCCTTGGAATTTCCCACGTGATGCATGTGTCTTTGTTAGTGACATTAGTGTTTGGTGGGTCCCTAGAACCACATCTGATAGTTTATTCTAATGAATGACCCAGGATGGGGCTCGCCACACCAGATGGACTCAGGGTGGGGACTGGCCATGCCGGAGAGACCACTGTATGGTTTGCAATGAGCCCTTTGGTTTTTAGTCTTCCTAGAGACTGAGTTCAACCATATGGGCAATAAATCGTCAGTCGTGCCTTCCTCATGAAGCTTCAGTAAAACTCTGAACACCAAAGCTTGGGTGAACTTCCTGGGTTAACAGTCTGCTGTGTGTGCCACACATTGATTCTGTGAGCGTAAGGCGTCCCTGAGCACAATGCAAGTTTGCGCTGGAATCCTCCCAGACTCTGCTCTGTGCATCCCTTCCTTTGGCTGGTTCTAATTTGTATGCTTACTTTGTAATAAACATAACCATGAGTGTAATACATTTCAGTGAGTTCCCTAAGTCCTTCTAGTGAATTTTCAAACCTGAGGGTGGTTTTGGGAAAACCCCAGGAACCTGAAGTCAGTATCAGAAGTGAGGGTGGTCTTGTGTGGATTTTTCTCTCTAACTTTGTGGTTGAACCCTAACTCCTTGCAGTAGAGGGCAGAAGGCTTGCACAGACTTTGCTGTCTCTAGGGAATGTGCCCTCAACCTCACAGTTTGGCTCATTCCATGTACAAGTCATTTCATATTTTGGGGGAATTGAAGCTGCCATGATCACAGCAATGCCTTGTGGAATTGTGATTCAGTCACGTGTCAGGTGAATGGTGGACTAGGGACTATTGAAGTCAAGAAAAATGCATAGTTCACTATTACAGTTTTTCCCCTATCATGCCACTTGGGTAGTTGAAGTGGCAGAAACAAAGAGGGATCCAGATGCAGAGAGATTTCAGAGATGGAGTTGACAAAACTTAAGAACTGAGTTTTCTGTGACACCACATTTGAAGGCATTAGTTCATGATAGTTTTTCTATCCCAAGCACATGTGAGACAAAAAGCAAGCCCTCATTTGTAACAGCAACTCACTTCCAAAAACGATCATCGTGCATCAGTGAGAGTCATGAGTGGGGAGCAGGTGGTGGTCAAGTGTGGCTCAGAATATCTGGGTAGGTGCTACCCCTGGAAAAAGTCTATCACGTGTTTCTGATTTGCCTGAATAGGGAAATGTGCCCCTCTCCTCCATAACGTTGAAAGGAATTGGCTTAAGAAATAATTTTAGTAAATGGAACTTATGTGAAAGAAAAACTTTCTGTGACAGGCGACTGCGGTAAGTGACGCTGCCATATAATGAGATTCTCCTACCTAGGCACAAAGTCCCTTGAATACCATCCCAGATTTCCATATGAGGTAACATTTTATTTCCCATAGAAATCAATCCGTATTTCCTTGAATTAAAAATTGCGTTGAATTTAAAAATGCAGATTTTTTGGTACTGATTTCAACCGCATATGTTCAATTGAACATACACAGCAGCCTGCAAATGATTCTCTGATTTTAGTAGTGGGACTGTTTCTTTACTGGAGATTTCATATGACTTTCCTCCCTCCACCCCCTTATTTTTGTACGCTTGTGAAAGCATACTTGATTGATGTTTACTCAGATAGGCTGGATATTGCTAAAAGTGTTAGAACTCAAACTAATTACTACAATCAGTTTTAAATAACTGAAATGTTGCTTGCCCTGTTTTTAAAGGTTCTTTTTTTGGATTTCAGTTCTGGCTTTACGTTTCATGTGTCTGTACATTGTGCATGTGTCTAATAATGACAGTTATTGCTTCAGCTGCACCAATGGGAAATTCAGGAGAGAATCTCCAAACAAAAATATTATTTTACTGTTATCTCTTAGGGTTGAAATCAGAAGCCATTTGTCTCCCTTGGGCCACCATTTCTACATATTTTTATTGAAAGTGGGCAGTTTCATCTTGACTATCCCATAGCTTCTGAAGAAAGAGATTTATATTGTTGACATAATATTCATCATCTCCAGAGGAAGGCCAGTGCTCAGAACATCCCACACTTGTCTGATTGTTCTTAGACAGGTTTGGCGTCTGGTGATGATTTGTGATGGTAACAGAACACGGCAAGAAAAACGGGTCATGCTGCTGTCAGAGGAGCTGAAACCTGGTGCCTTCGTTGAATGTCCACATAATCAGGTACTTAACTGTGTAAGAATCACAGTGACTTTTCCAGTTCCATTTAGCAAAAGTGAAGGTGGGGAAAGTGGAATCTCCACCCACTCCACTTCTGGGTAAGGACATTTGGAAGAAATCTCTGCTCGTTGGCTCAGGAACTGTAGCCAACAAACCTCTAGAGGTTCAAGTAACAACACTTGGCAGTTCTTAACTTTTCCTTATTTCCTTAACAAAGAGGGAATAGGAGGAATGGAAAAAGAACCCTCCAACCATCAACAGTTCTCAGTTCTCTTCAGGTATATTACTTTAAATAGGCTTTGCTAAAGTAGCAAAAATATCCGAAATGACAGTGGGGTAAATAATAGAGATATTTATTTTTCTCTCTAATCTATTAACATGCATAGCCTGAGGCTGGCATGGTGGCCCCACTATCATCGTGGACCAGGATCCTTATGTGGCGGCTTCCCATGGTCCAAGTTGCTAGCTCTAGCTTCAGTGATCAATGTTGCATTTCAGATATCAAGACAAAGGACTGGAGAGAAGGGCATGCCCCTTTCCTTTCAGGACACTTCCTGAAAATTGCATTTGTCATTTTCTCTTACCTTCCAGTGGGTGGAATTTAGTCTATGGTTTCACCTAACTATAAAGGATTCTGGGATATGCACTCCTCATTCTAGGTGGCCATATGTCTAGCCGGTATTCAAGAGCTGTATCGCTTCACCAGCGTTTCAGATTTTGAAGGCTAGAATCATGGTTTATTCTTTTTCTACATATCCAGTTGCTCATGATAAAATCCTAAGCACATTCCAGGGTTTTGCTTAATGCCAGATTAATGGTTTGATTTGCCTTGAACATTTGGAATAGGAATCTTTTTAGTGATGTCGAGCTGGTACAAGAAAGCTTCACTTTTGGGGCCGGCCCAGTGGCGCAGTGGTTAAGTGTGTATATTCTGCTTCGGCGGCCCGGGGTTCACCGGTTCAGATCCTGGGTGCGGACATAGCTAAGATTAGCCCTGAGCTAACATCTGCTGCCATCCCTCTCTTTTTGCTGAAGAAGACTGGCCCTGAGCTAACATCCATGTCCATCTTCCTCTACTTTATGTGTGGTATGCCTACCACAGCATGGCTGTGTTTCTTGAAGCTGCATCCCATGAATTTAGGAGGCGAGGTAGGGTTTTTGAATCTCAACAGTAACATTGACAAACTGTGCAGTCATGGGAAAGTCACACAACCCTAAACTTCCTCAAAAAAAAAAGGAAAGCTTCACTTTTGTGGAGCTCAACGTTTATTGTGTGGGTGTGGGTATCTGTATACTTAATTTTCTTGAGTACAGGAACTTTGCTAGGTTCAGCAATAATACAAGAACCAAGGACATCAGAATATATGTTGTAGGTCAACTGAGAGTAGTTAGTGATTAACTCCCTGGTGATCTATTTCAGCCTTGCCTCAACTGGGTCGCTCAGGAGAGAAAAACAATTTCAGTCTTAATGTAACCTCTTTGGGATCAGTAATTCCAAGATTACAGCTAACTTGTTATAGCTCAGAGGTTTAGTTTTGCAGCTACCACAGTGCACTTTCACAGCAGGAGGAGTTTATTAAATTATTGAAGCTGCAGAGGAAAAAAATTTTGGTAATAATGTTCCAAGAGACAGCAAACTGCTTAGAATATAGAATGCATTGAATCCCTTTGTTTCTTGAAGCTGCAGCCCATGAATTCAGGAGGCGAGGTAGGGTTTTTGAATCTCAGCAGTAACATTAACAAACTGTGCAGTCATGGGAAAGTCACACAACCTCTGTATGTCTTGATTTTCTCATTCAAATATGGGGAAAATGAATGTATTGTCCAGTGCCTCAGTAGTGATGAAAATCTGGGTGCAAATCAGGTAATTTAACTACTTAGCAATAATTTTGGAAGAGGAGTTAATGAAGGGAAATCTAAAACTTGTAATATGAGTTAAATTTTTTGACTTTCTTATTTCTGATTTTCACTTTTTCTGTTATATTTATAAATCACTGAAAGTCTAATAGGGAGAAGGACCAAGATAGGATCAGAAGAAATCACAATATTTAAAGGGTAGAGAGAATAGAAAAACGGTAAGGGAGATGAGAAGTAGTCAAAACTTAGAAAGAGAACCACGAAAATACAGTATTTTGGGAAGAAAAATCAATATTAAAATTGGCAAATCATCCTTGGTGACAAGTGAGTAGGATCCTTAATTTTGGCAATTAATTGGTTACTGGTGACTTTGGCGTGAGAAATTTTACTAGTGGTGTGTGTGGGTGTGGGATGGGGGTCAAGACTAGAACGCAGAGGGCAGAAGAGCGAATGTGGAGGTGCTGGAGTGGAGACAGCAAACAGTGATTATTCCCCAGGGAAGCTTAGCTATGAATGGGAGAACGTGTCAGGAGCTGGCGGAGAGTAAGGCGATATTTTCCAGGGAAGCCTCTCATTCTCAGTCAAAGGATTGGGGAAGTCCTGTCACGATCAGTCCTTATTTGTGTACTTGCCTCTGTCCAACTCCAGTCTAAGGTCTTAAGGGATAGAGTTTCCACTTATCTCTTTGTCCCTACTCCTTAGCACAGTGGCTGGAACACTCAAAATCTATTTGTGGAATGAATTAAAAAGTCTCACATGGCACCCCAATATAAAGCTGTCTTTTGTGCTATCCCAGGCACCAGTCCCAAACTTGGATCTGGTCCCTGGTGCCTGTAAGAATATTTGATCTAAATTCCAAAAAGAATAGATGTGTGTTTCAAATTTTCATTCTTTTTAGTTCTCTTGACTGATAAGGACACACCGTCAAGTCATGTCTCGTTGCTCCTGCCTAAACCCCATGCCACCCTGCCTTCACCTGGTGCTCTTCCCAGGCTGGGCACCACCTGCAGCTTTCTTACTACATTACCAAATTAAAAAATATACTATGCTGAGTTGTCGTTTATCAGGAAAATTGTTTTCCAGTGTTTCATGTTCTGTACTTAAGAGAAATGAATTTGATCAGTGTTTGCTAGAGACTATCTTTCTAAGAAAATATCCTTCTTAGCATTAGTAATTTGCATGACACACAAGAAATAAATGTTCAATATCTGTTTTGCAGAAGAGTAAGCTGTTTTATGAGTCTAAGAAGGAACGCACACTGCAAAGCAGAACTGGCCCACATTTCGCTGAAATTGGTCGAATAGTGATTATCTGCATGAATCTCTCCCCTTTCTGTTCTCAGTTCTTAGAAAACTGGCATTTTTCTCCTTTGAGCAAATGAATGATGAATGACCTAAAATATGTATTAAACTTCATGTTTCGTCCAGGAAACCAGGACAAAGAACTGTAAATTGATCTGCCTCCCTGTGGGTCAAATAACTTATGATCTGTCAAATAGTGAATGAAATGCTATGGCTAAGAAGGAATATTATGCTGGTTATGTGCAGATGTTTCTTACATTGAAAAATGGGTTTATTAATGGCATGCTTATGAAGAAAGTTCTAATCTGGGATTCTGTTACCATATTTAATTAACTAGTCAGCCGTTGGAGATCCTTGAAGCTCAGACTTCGAAGTGAGTGGTAATCAATTTTTGGTTTTGCACTGTCCACAGCTAAGAAGAAGATGGGTGCAAACCTCAGGAAGCTCAGTCAAAAGAGGAGATCAATATTTTATTTTGTCTTTTGTCACCAGTAACCTAATGGGCGGAAATGCGCACAGGTTCTCCTTGCTTTTGTTTGGCTCTACACTTGCATAATTTTCAAGGGGGTGCAGAAGTGTTGTGAGCTGGAAAAAAGAGTATTAGATCATTTGTGTCATTGCAAGATGATAGTTATGTGGCAAGATCATGCAAGCAGTGTTAATCACTAAAATTGAAATTAATACCTCTGTAACAGGGGAAGCATATATAAAGAGAATGTTCTTAAGAAAAAGATTCAAAATGTTAGGGATAATGAGTAGTATATATTGTAGTTATAGGACTAGCTTCATCCATTTTCTGATACAACTCTTGAATTAGATTCTACATAAACTGGACTGTAATGATGGACATAGGTGGGAAAATATTTGATATCATATTCATACATGCATCGCCGTGCAGTGGTCAACATCATGGTAGATTTGCCACTTTCTGTGTCCTTGGAAAACCTTCTTAGCTTTCCTGAAATAGAGATCTCTCCCTATAGTTTCCATGAGGACCAAATGGGAAAATGTGTGGCTCGGGTCTGCCACATGATAATCTCTCAGTATACACTAGCACTGGTGTAGAGGCTGCCATGATGTTGATCCTTGGCCGTGATGACAGAACTTCCTTTCAGTTGTGCTGTGCTACCATTTTTCTACAGGAGTGCAGGCCTTTGTGGTTACAAGACACCCAGGCCTGAGTGTGTTCTGACTGCATGTGAAAATCGAGGTACAGACAAAAGTAAGATCAGGGACCACCTAGATGTGGCTTAGAGTAGTGGCATTTGGATGACTGAGAGTTCTAGAGGCAGCAATGGCCACTTCTGACCAGAAGCCCTAGGGCTATACCCTGAGCACATGGGTCCTGGAGGGCAGCTATCCATCTTCTATGCTGTGTTCTTGTCAGAAGAAAATTGAGAAGGCCTTTTCTGAAAATAGGCTCTTCTAGGGAAGTTAGTTTTAAGGATGTTGAAACAAGATCAAGAGGACCTTGAATGTGCATCCAAGAACTTTAAAGTCTGTGATGTGGCAGTGTAATATCTCTGGAGAATAGTGTCTCAGAGAAAATCTCTCTCACACACACACACATACACACACACACAGACCCAAATGTACTTTATTATGAAGCTTGGCTGGCATTTTACCAGTGCTAAATGTTCATTTTCCTCATTTGCTTTCTGAAAGTTTAGCAGAGAAAATACTCACCGATGCTGATGACTGAGGCTGGGAGAGCGTCAACGTGCAAGAGTCAGTCTCTGTTCCTCCCATTACAGCATTGATGCAACACAGACCGCCCCCGCTGCCCAGTGGAGGTGGGAACTTGTGTTTCCACTTCTCACCTCGTTTTTCTTCCTCAGTATAATG